TGGAGACTCGTCCACCCAGACGTATCCATAGCGATGTATCTACCCAATGCATTTCTCCCAACGCACTTCAAAGAAAGAGACCGACTCGCAGAGTGACGGAAAAGGGAAAATACCAGAGTGGTTCGAAAAATGTGGCTTCCCGACTAGTGAAACCCTGGTCGTGGTGCCAACGATCCGCATGTCCCTCACGGGAAATGGCGTCACTCCAATTGGATTTGGAGGGGATCCACTCAAAGTAAATCCAACATCTAAGTGAAAACAATAGAATGTGAATCATATGACTCATGTGCTCGAGGTCAGGGCTGTCTGACCTTCCCTTGATGAGCGCCATCAAGGCAGCGGTGTTGTCTATGTACCATGTGCCGCGGCGATTGCGAAATCGCTCAGGTGTGGTAGTCAATGCCATGAGGACCTGCAAAAGTTCTAGTTGTGCGATCTTAGCCTCTCCTGGGGTCCAAAGAACGTAGATGGACGGTGGGAGATAGGTCACAAATCCAAGCCGGCTCTCGGTGTCCTCGTGGAAGAAGACGAGGAGAAAACCACCTGTCCCTTCACCGGGGGTCTCCAATGCAGCGTCAGACGTTGCCACAAAGCGCTCATGGTGTCTCGGCCAGACATCAAGTTCACGCTCCGGATGGATAGAGAGCACTGCTTCGAGAATTTGAAAGCATTGTTCGATAGCTGGAGTCAGTTGATCACCTCGGACAAGCTGACGCTCCTTAATGGCATGGAGACCTCCACATCCTATCCTGCCGTAGACGCCCTGCTCGAAGAAGTTAGCCAGTCCGTACAGCTTAGCTGCAACACCGGGCTTGAGAGTTTGAGTTGCACGGCATTCATGGATAATGGCCTTCAACTTGGTTTCCAGGCGTTCCCTCGCCCAAAAGGAGACAAAGCCACCAGATAGTGCGGACGAAAGGTCATGGTCAAGGCCTAGAAACAACCCCTTGGGGCGCATAGCCTGGCGTTTCTCTGCTGCAAAAGGGGTGCCCAGAAGCTGATTCAAGGCTCCAAATGCCCATTGAGCCGAACCCCGGCTCGAAGACCAGTCCTGAATAGATGCATCATCGAAGTAAAGCGAAACCAGGACATAGCACAGGCGGCGTCCCAGGGCCTCTACAAGACGGCTGTACCGATTGAAGGATGTAACGGCCAGTGGAAGACCAAATAGTAGACCGGCGTAGACTTGAAAAGCCGGAGCAGCCCATTCATGATGCCAAAACGTCACAACGCATCCCCGCGTTTCGTTGGCTCCCATTGGGCTGTGGCGATAGGCATGTGGCCAGTCTTCTCCACCTGTCTCCCAGGTATCGGTGGCGGCTGCCTGGGCTCGCTCGGAGGGGCTCATCTGGCGCAGGACTTGGCTAATGTGCTGAGCCGGTCGTAGTGGTGAGCAGAGCACCAACTTGTTGGCATCGGCCGAGCGTAAGGTTTGTCCTCCTGCATCAGCGTTGTCAATGATCCGCTGCTTGCCTGAAGACTGTGTGATCACACAGCGTGGGATCAGGCGGTACGGCTGCCCCTGCAGCTGCTGACGCAACTGTGCCAGCGTCAAGGGAGGGGTACAGAACCCTCGTGCCGCGTCCTTTGTAGACTGCTCCAACAGGAACAGGTCATCTTTGCCCGGCTTGAGGGTAGACAAGATCTGATGGTTGTGTGCTTCGCATCCGGCCAGGACCTCTGTAAGAGTAATACGTTCGGCAGGCTGAGATGGAAAGACGCCGTAGCAGGGTGCATAACCGACTGCCGGCAGGCCTTCGATGAGCCCAAAGGGATATGTAACATCAGGCCATGACGTCAGCAAGATCAACAGCGCGACAAAGCCGAGGTCACGGGTGGCTGTGGTCGCCTGCAAGGCGACAGGTTGAAACTGCCGTAGATGGCGTCCTACTGCACACCAACGCCGATGAAGTTCTCGAAGTGCTCCCACGGCTGCACGGCGAAGGTCTCGGAGACGACCTCGGTACTGAGTGTGGCAATCGGCTGCAAAAGCCAGGTCCAGGTCCAGCACGGCTGGTAGCTCGGTAGGTAGCAAGTCGCGACCCCGTGCCAGCGCTTGGGCGAAGTGTTCATCAGGACTGAGATCATAAGACAGCAAGGGGGGTAGGGCTGCTCGCTGATTCAATGCGCCCACTTGCTGGCCCTCGGCAGTTCGGAGGGTCTGGCGAACGTTGGCATCAGCCAGGTGCGGGCCCAGGGGGCCATCAGTCTCGTAGTGCCTATTGTGCAGCCACACCGGGAAAGCATTGAACGGGGCAGCGTTGATGATGTCCTCAACCATGGGGAACTGGAAGTTCATGAAGAAGTGAGCTGGATATAATTTGCGAAAGGCGAGGACGAGGGCCTCTTGGCTCCACCAACGTGTCGGACTCGTTGGGATACCCTGGACCGTGCTGGCCATACTCGCTAGGAGAACTTGGCGAGCTGGAGGGGTCCCCCCCCGACTGAAGCGATGCATCGACTGACGGCCCTGTGGATGGCTCGCCTCGAAACAAAGGCCTGCAAGCACATCAGCCTCACAAGGGTCGCAGAAAGGACAGTCGCAGACCAGCACTTTGCCTTGCAGCTCTTGCAGTTGGGTCACCAGCCCGGACTCGTAGAGGTAGGCAACATAGTACCACAACCAATCATTAGCCTGACTGTTCAGCCCAGGAATGACTGGGGAGGCCCACTTGGTTTTGGCAAGACGATGCGAACCACGGCCCTGGCCCACGTAGACATGATCGTGCGGCAACTTGCCCTTCTCGATGAGGACGTCATCTACCTGAGCTCGACGAGGGACTCGGGCGGCCTCACTGGGATCCAGGGGATACAAGCCAATGCCCAGGGCAAGCGCCATCGCCCATTCCCTGAGTGCCCGGGGATCCAGATCTAGCCAATGTTCACGGGCTCCGACACACTCGAATTGCGGCAGCCGTGGCACATGCAGTTTAGCGCGACCCACGCGCCCGGCCCACCACGAGGCTGCGACCGCAATAGCAAAGGCCAAGACAGCTGTGTACTCGGCCTCCTCTTTGGATGGGTAGATTGTCTGGCCATCCTGAAGGTAAGGAGTCCATTCGTGTGGCGCATGAGAATGGTGGCAGGTAAGCGGCGGCCATTGCTCAAGCTCATGAATGTTGTGACGCAAGCACTGCGCCTTGCACCGAGCTCCCCCCAGACAGCATGCATCATACCGCTTGTCTTTCCAGCGGCCAGTGGCCATCATAGCGCGCTCGGTGGACCCCCACCAATGTAGGCTACGCCAGGGATTTTCACGGACTGACCCGCCGCCACGCTCGGCGAGCAGACGAATCTCCTCGAGGATGAACTCGCAGGCCTGGTTGTCCGTGCGAACTCGCTGAAGGTCACGACCCTGCAGAGTCGGCAGTCCATCTGGATGTTCCTCAGAGCGCAACGGTGCTGGACATGGGCGGCCGTCCTCAAACCGGCGAGGAATTTCCCTGGCTCGACTCTTGGTAGAGCAGTCAAAAGCTGCGCATATGAAGTCAACCTCCGAGAGCTGCTCATGTAGGGACTGCTGGCGTAGTGGATTAGAAAGGTCATGAGACTTGTCCAACATCCAGTCGACTGACAGGGTGCGCCACCCGCACCAAAGGAAAGCCTTGGATAGTGGCAGGTTAGGCCCACAGAACAGGTCAGCAACCAAGGGACGGGGAGCATCGATGTCCCCTAAGGGGGAGTCCGTCCCATCCTCCCCCTCGGGGCCCCATCACTTCTTCCCGCCCCGACAGGCGGCAGCGCCGTGCCCCGGGGCGCCACAGGCGCGCTCTTTGCGCAGGACCAACCCACAACGGTGCTGGCCATTGGCACAGTTGGCTTTGGCCTTGCACTGGCCATGTTGGAACGCCTGGCAGAGGCGTGTGCCATCTTTGAGGATCTTGGCCACCTGGCGCCCATTGATTGGATTCCCCAGGGTCCATCGATTGGAGTCGGGCTTCACTGGGGTGACTGGCTCTGGTGTGGAACGACTCGAGGGGATTCCGCTTGTGGTAACCGGGACTGACCAGTGGGCATCGCGCATGGCGTAAACTTCTTGGATCACACGGCCTAGGCTCTTCTGACTATCCCGAAAACGGGAAACCCACTCCGACCGTTCGTCATTGTCCCTCTGTTGGAGCCACTCGAGACGATGATTGTACGGGATGAGGGAGGCACTCCGTTTGGCGCGATAAAAGTATTGTTGAATAACATCAACTGGTACTTCAACATACTCCACGGAATTGGACCCCAAGCTCTCAGCCACACCGGGGGCGGTGGTACAGGAGGCGGACCCCGCCATGGCGTAGGC